TAAAAAGAAATGGTTCGTGTAGTTTTGGCCGAGGACGTGATAGTACCAGCACGGTGTGAGACCATATTAGGCGCATTCCCGGATGGTGAATTTAGGATTGGAAGCATCATGATGTTTGAAGCTAGAATTCATGACGGTGAGGTAGGGCAAGGAGTTGTTATGGGGAAGACCCTCATCCAGGTTGAAAAAGCTGTGCCCGTGAGGATGATGAATTCAAATTATCACCCTGTGCCTCTGAAGAAAGGGATCGTCATGGTGGTACTGTAGCCCGGTGTCCTCGATTATCGAACAAATGTGTACTGATGGAAAAGTGGAACGGAAAACTTTTAAAGAACTGACCGATTTCTTCGAGTCTTCTACTGCCCATTTACATTCCGATCAGAAGAAAAAGGTGAGAACTCTTATCAACAATTATTCGGATATTTTCGATGATGGACATGGCCAGAAGGGCAGAACTAACATTGTTCAACACAAGATAGTCAGTGGAGGCGCTTTACCAATCCGACAAGCCGCACGAAGACTACCATTGGCTAAACGAGAAGAGGCCGATAAAATTATCGATGATATGGAAAAAGAGGGTGTGATTGAGCCATCGAATAGTCCCTGGGCTTCGCCGGTGGTGTTGGTTAAGAAAAAGGACGGCTCCACTAGATTNAATCCGACAAGCCGCACGAAGACTACCACTGGCTAAACGAGAAGAGGCCGATAAAATTATCGATGATATGGAAAAAGAGGGTGTGATTGAGCCATCGAATAGTCCCTGGGCTTCGCCGGTGGTGTTGGTTAAGAAAAAGGACGGCTCCACTAGATTATGCGTCGACTATCGTCGGTTAAACAATGTAACCAAGAAGGATAGTTATCCATTACCTAGAATAGACGATACCTTAGACACTCTAGCAGAATCCACGATTTTCTCTACATTAGACTTGAGAAGCGGATATTGGCAGGTTGAAATGACTCCAGAAGATAAGGAGAAAACTGCATTTACTGTTGGTGCCGGACTGTGGCAGTTTACAGTGATGCCATTTGGGTTATGCAACGCTCGTGCGACATTTGAGCGATTAATGGAAACGGTGCTGAGAGGACTCTCATGGAAGACATCTCTGGTATACTTGGATGACATAATAGTGGTAGGAAAATCTTTTAATGACTACATGACGAACCTAGAAGAAGTTTTTCAATGACTTCGAAGCTCTGGACTGAAGCTAAACCCCAAAAAGTGTCGCCTATTCCAGAGGAAGGTGCAGTACCTGGGCCATGTTGTCTCAGACCAGGGAGTTGCAGTAGACCAGCAGAAGATCAAGGCATTACAGGAATGGCCGGTACCAAAAGACAAGAATGAACTTAGAAGTTTCTTGGGCTTATGTACGTACTACCGACGATTTGTGTCCGGATTCGCCAACATTGCCAAACCATTGACCAAACTTACAGAAGCAGAGAGACGGTTCCTGTGGGACGACGACTGCAAGATGGCCTTTCAGAACCTAAAGGATGCCCTAACTAGTACACCAATTTTGAGCTACCCTGTGCTTACCAGAGAATTCATTTTGGACACCGACGCAAGCAACGTGGGACTAGCAGCTGTATTATCGTAGATCCAGGATGGACAGGAAAGGGTGATCGGTTATTTCAGTAAAACCCTCTCAAAATCAGAACGAAATTACTGTGTGATCAGAAGAGAACAGTTGGCCGTAGTAAAATCAACAGAGCACTTTTACAAGTATCTCTATGGAAGAAAGTTCCTGTTAAGAACAGACCACGCTGCGTTAAAATGGCTCCTACAGTTTAAGAACCCTGAAGGACAAGTATCCAGGTGGATTGAAATATTGCAGGAGTTCCACTTCGACACAGAACATCGTGCCGGAGTTCAGAATGCCGATGCCCTCTCCAGAAGACCTTGCCCACAGGATTGTAAACACTGCAGTCGTATTGAAGAAAAAGATGCTCATGTATGCAGGACGACGATAATTGACAACCATTGGCAGTCCAAAGAAGTGCGACAAGACCAAGAACGTGATCCGGACCTAAAACTCATGATAGACTGGAAGAGGGAAAACCGTAAGCCGACTTGGGAGGAAGTGGCACGATATTCCCCAACTGTAAAATCGTACTGGGCTCAATAGAAATCCATGACGTTGGCCGCAGATGGACTTCTAACACGCATACTGGAGGGTGCAGACGGTGGGGATGAGCGTCGGCAGATTGTCATCCCGAAGTCCAGGGTACGCGAGGTGTTGGAAGAAATTCACAATGGGGCCACCGGTGGACATTTTGGAGTGGCCAAAACTCTGGGCAAGTTACGAGAACGATTTTACTGGGTTAACTGTTCAGCAGATGTGAAAGAATGGTGCAGAAAATCTACTGTCTGTGCTGCTAGCAATGGTCCCCAGAAGCGTAGGCGTGCTCCTATGCGACAGTACAATGTAGGCAGCCCCTTTGAGAGAATAGCGATAGATGTAACCGGCCCATTTCCTGAGACAGACTCCGGAAAAAATACATTGTCGTGGTAATGGACTATTTCAGTAAGTGGGCTAAGGCTTACGCTTTGCCAAACCAAGAAGCCTCCACAGTAGCAGACGCCTTAGTCAAGGACTGGATTTGCCGATTTGGAGTTCCCATGGAAATGCACTCCGACCAAGGTCGGAATTTTGAGTCGGCTCTCTTTAAAAATGTGTGTTCTGTCTTAGGTATACGTAAAACAAGGACAACTGCACTACATACGCAGTCAGATGGAATGGTGGAAAGAATGAATAAGAGCATCAACAGATACCTGGCAAAGGTAGTCTCTGACTATCAAAGAGACTGGGACCACTTTCTCCATCTATTCCTAATGGCTTACCGTTCCTCCATCCATGAAACGACCGGGCAAACTCCAGCCAGCATAGTCATGGGACGAGAGTTACGTCTACCCTGCGACCTGAAGTTTGGGTGTCCACCAGGAGAAGACCTCGCAGGAGAAGATTATGTCAGTAACCTGAGAAGGAAGATGAGCGACATTCACCAACGAGTGCGAGCTAACATCCAAACTGCCAGCGATAGGATGAAGGAAATTTACGACATCAGAGCCGAGAATGGAGGATTCAGTATTTGGTGGTTTCTTAATAAGAATATGCATTCCCTCCATTGCTCCCAAACAGTTTTCAAAATTCTACATATTTTTTAAACCCTCTGCAACATTTTTCCATTGTTGTATACTTGACGGACCTAGAAAAGATAATACTATATTGGCGAATAATAATAAGATACACAAGATAATATGTGTATCTATATTTTACATTTACATATATATCTGTATTTTACTATTTCAGGTAGATACCATAAATGAAACTGAATTTGAGGAATTGACAGATACACCACCAACACCTTTGTCTCCTGAAAAAGAACCACAGATAAAAAACAAACGACAACTCAAGTACTGCAGAAACTAGTAGTTCATCTCAGTCTACCTTCAGATCTCAAAAAAGAGCTAAATCAGGGACAAAAGCTGCACAAAAATTTTGTGTTCCACAAAAAAACAAGAATTACTGAATTTAGCTCATAATGCCTTAACAGATAATGATGAAGATGAATTACCGGAAGATTAGGTTTTCAATTGAAGAGACCTCAGGATCAACAGAGATTTATAGCAGAAAAATTAATATCTGATGTTCTAAGCTAGAATGGGAAAGCTGACAGAAGCTGCAATTGTACACTGCATGAGTGTGAATAGTAGTTCATCCTCATTACAAGTTCCAATTACGACAAATCTTCGTTCACAAAATGATCCATCAACAATCACAAGAATATGAATATTTGCAAACGCCATCAGTTAACACCACAAGGATGTATTGGTTATCAACCACAAAGTGTTTCGCATGCTGTAGAACGGGTTCCATCTCGTACTAGCCAAGAATCAAATTCAAATGTAACAGAATATTTTCATACCTACACAATACAAAGTTACATATTATACAAAGTATATTAGAGTAGAATATATTATAATTTTGTATCTTTCACTTTCAGTATACAAATATAGTATTAACGAAATTACTGCTGCTTACCTTTAAATATTCCTTTTTCAAACCTTCATAAATCGTCCAGCATGTTTCATGAATGGATTGAAGTGATATAGCTGTACGAAATTTAAGGTCTTTGTAAGAAGTTCCAGTTGCGCGTCTCTATACTTTGTATTTTGTTTTATGATTTTAGGGTGTACCAATTCTAACAGTGAGTTAAAAGAATCTTCGTCCAATCGTAAGTAATTTTTGAAATCTACTAGGTCAGTGGCACTTAAGTTCACGTAATAAGTTCATGTGAGAGTACAGTCGCCTTTCTTGTAACCAATTTTTGCACCATTTCTTCTTTTCTGGGTGGTTCTTCGTCTTCACCTAACAAAGCTACCACAATTGCAGCTATTGCCCTTTTTGGCAAACTCGATGGCATCGCAAATACGATAAAATAAATAACTGCAAAACCATTTGTAAGATAAACAACAGTAGTTTGTGGACAAAAATTAATCTGATCTGTCGTTCCAACGGCAACAGTCAAATCAACTTGGTGTTGTACAACCTGTAGTACGATGAATCATATAATGTATGGCCCGTTTAATACTAATAAATCCATGTAAGGTGGGAAATTGAAAAAAAAAACATTTTGCTTTCAGATAAAAGGTATATAAAAAATAAGCGATGTCCATGAATAAAATCGTAGTATTTTCTATTTCTATATCAAATAGGTCACAGTCAATACAGTATCATTCAATATCACAATAGTGTTTTGAATTTAGCCATACCAATATAGTTACATATATCTTTATTTCCGTTCAGCAAATTATTATTCGCTGATGCCACTTTTTCCGTATTTGACCATTTTTCTACAAATATTGATGATGTTGAATTATACTGTTATTTCATTCGGCTCGGGACATTGTGACTATTTTCCCTTTTACTGTTTATTAACGAAGTATTTTTCCCAAACAGATAACTGACAAAAGTAATGGATGGTAGAAAATAAACCATTAGTAGACATTAATATTTTTATTTTTCGAAGTACAAAATATTGTTTCTTGCGTGCAGTTATCTATCACATTGGTAAGACTACTGACATTTGTCAATATTTTTAAGATATTTTATAAATTTCGCAAATCACTAACTTATTCATGCATTTTTAAGCATATAATGTTATCCGACATATTAAATAGAAGTTCAAAATAATAAAGAATTCATAAATTTTATCTGTAAATTATCCTTATAAAGGAAATATTTCTGGGGAACTAGTATTTCCTACAATGACGCCTTTTCCTTGAAGTTACTGATGCATTAAGTAATTGTTCATTTTCCTCTTCTCCACTTAAAGTAGAATCCCACATTCTGACAGTTTTTTGTACATATATCAAACATCCCAACGTCAAAACTAAAAGTAATAAAATCGTTAATGACAATGATAAAAAATATATAAAATCAATTTACCATTTAAAATGAAAGGGAAAACGACATAGAAATTTAAACTTGCCGCTCTAAAATATATGGTTTCAGTGAAATACAGCATTAGTGTTATTACGACAGACCAAATTCCCATACTAAGTAATCTATAATAAAATATTACTTTAATATAGGTACCAAAAATTGATGGATTAACATATCAGAGACACAGGATCACATTTAGCCCTCAGACAAATTAATAAAATATGAATACAATGACACGTCTTTTTATGTCATATAGCGGGTGATTTTTTTAACCTGAAACTTTCAAACATCTTGAAAAATCGTATTCCAGAATCGTATTCATAGGTTTTTAGTAGGAGAAATTGAAAAAATTGAGTTTCATCATCTATCATGAAACGAAAAAAATGTTTCAGACAAATCCTACGTACTTTTAGCAGTAGAATCCGAATGTACAATAAAAAATGGGGGTTCGTATTTAAAATTTCAAAGATAGTAATCCTAATTGAGCTAAAAATAGAGTTTTAGTTGTCCACAAAGTCTTTGTAAAAATACCTTGCATATTACCTGTTTGACTTATTGCTATATTATAAATGTACATATTTCTATTTACAGAAATAAAATAATTCAAATTTTAGTTTTAAATATTAATAATTTAAACTATCCTGGCTCTGGTTTTACTAAATATATCACAATACAATCATATAATTAAAAAGGTCTCATCTCATTTAATGCATATATTAATGATATATGTAAGTTGTTTTAATTCGAGCGCAAGTATTTTTTTTGTTTTAAATATTAAGCAACGCTTGTATTTGAAATAAACATCCACAAATATTTTTAGAAAATCTGATACAGAGTTGTTATTAAATGTAATGTTAATTATTTCTACTTTTTTATTTGTAGTGTAGTTGCAATCAGCTACACCGAAATAGCCCTTTTGAAGCCCTGTTAAATACATATGCACATAAAACTTCTGGGTCGATTTTCCTTTTTCCACATAATCTTTAAAAGTCTTCATATTCTTCATATAACTTTATAATAAACTTCCAGAAAGTATAAAAAATATTAAAGGACTTCATAAATTTAAGGTGATTAAAAAAATGTTAGTAGAATTAGAACCATATAGTTTAAATGATTATTTGTTAAAATAGTTTTTAGGTATTCTTTAGTTTACAATACTGACAATATTTCATTTTTGGTGTAGATACAATGGTCTGTTACAGTGTAGCTTTACCTTCTCTGAAATAAATATTATTATTATTATTATTCGTGGTACATTTAATTTCAATAATAATGTCTTCATTCCATCAGGTGATCCTGCTATGGTGGGATAGTTTTTGTAAAGCATTATACCACATTTTTAAAATTTTTTCCCCACACTGGTACTTACAGTTTTCCTCACTTCATCTTCCAACATTCTCTCGCGTTTCATGGTCGATGCGTTTTAGATTTCTCCTCTCATTATTAATGTGATCATTGGTTTTGCACCGACTAAATTCAAACACTCGTGAGGCCGTCACTCTACCATATCTTAACTCGTGCCAAAAACAGCTTTGATGTTGGTCTCGTCTCTTCTTCAACTTTCATGTCATCTTCATCAGTCAATACGAGTTTTTTAAAAATGTGTAGCAGGACTATTCTTTGTATTTCAGCACCAATTTATACATGGATAAACTTTTGATCACAAACAGTCTTTTTGATATTTTATTAACTCGCAGTTGTTGAGCTTAATTTTCTTTCCTTCTTTTAGAAATTTTTCAAGTACCTAACGTTTCCTGATTATGGTTTTGATAACACTACAAAACTAAGCAACTAATAGTTGGTAAACACAAAATATTTAAACGAAGGTAAATATTGCGGATATTGTGGAAGTACAAATGACACAAAATGACATTTACATAGACGTAATTCGCTCTGATTGGTGTTCAACATATCATGGTGGTTTGCTGTAGTTTATAGTTATATTTTATCAAAAATATTATCAATATCGCCCATAATATAAAAATAAACGGTTTTTATAACCCATGAATCATATTTCATTAGATAAGTAAATACATAATTTTAGTGATTCTTGATAACTCATCATGCCTATTGAAGCCATTATGTGGTTATTTGGTTACTAAAATAAGGTGAGTTGATCCTAGATATAATTAAAAATAATATAACTATTTATTTACAACTTAAGTATCTTCTAACTTAGGAAGGATAGATCTAGTTTTATTTTTTTATATCACATCTCTTATAAATACTTACGGCTTATAATGTATATACAGAGAACAATGAACTAAAACAAGAGCCTTTAGAATGGAATACATTCCTAAGACTCTAGAGGTAGTATATTCTTCTGAAAATAAAATATTTAGGAACAAATACTAACAAAAACTGTACTACGTACCATCAACAAAGTTATCGACATTATGAATTGTTTTACTTAGAAATGATCTTTTCTCTATATAACTTCTTACTGCTGTTCCAAAATCCATAAATGCGACAAATACTATCCAACCTCGTATTGCATATAATATTTTTATGTCCATCGTATTTGCGGTAGGTGTAATACTTGCAAAATGTGTTTTTGATCACTTTGAATTAATGCTATCTACAAAATAATACATGGTATCGATGAAAACATATATTCCATAGTACCTCTCTGCCATTGTATACAATTTGTAATTTTATTATAAAATTTAATGCCAAATTACGAGTTATTTTTATAAAGAGTTGAGGTTAGAAATGGAAATTAGAGATAATAGAGGCCGAAGATCTGTCACACTAAGGGTTTTTTGGAGAGCCAAACCACATCAAACCCGGTTAGCTCGAGTTTGATTGTGTTAAGAGTTTGAGTTAACATTTGACAGAACTCGCAAAAATTCTTTTGGTTTGGATATCTAATCAATAATAAAATCGTAACCTATAATCTATGATAGTGCTCGTAGCTCAAGTTGTTTGATTATTTCTTATATACTATAATTGTTATTCCTAATCTGAAATGCACATCCATGAAATAACGTTAATGTATAGATGGTTATTAAATCTAAATGGGTTTACCTTTTCACAAATATCTATTCCCACGTAAATGTATCGTCAAAAAGGAAGTTAATAAAGATCTATACAGTACAATATAGAATATGCATATCTACGATTAAAGTTATTTGGATCCTCGATTACTATTTTTTTATTATCAATTTTAAATATTTACTTTGTATTTTTTGCAAAGTTAATCCATTATCAATTTTTTTTATTTACAACTTATACCTATCCAAACCTCTAAAAAAACGAAGTAGTGACTAGGTACGATGGTACGAAACAGAAAATAAATAAACAAAGATAGAAATATTAACTTAATATCCAAACCAACCCACAAGTCCGGTTTGATGGTTAGGCAAACTCTGCCAAACCGGGTTAACTACATTTCTCGCCAAAACGTCAAACCTCAACAAACTATAGTTAACCGGGTTAGCGGTTTTCTCGCCAAAAAACCCTTACTGTCTTTTTAGAGGTTAGAGAATTAGAGATGCTAGACCGCAGAACAGAAAATCGATACTATTTTTCGCAAACACAATCGTCTCAAAATTAACTCCTACAATCAAATTATTTTGATCAAACCGATTTCGTTAAGTTAGTAAAGTAATAATATAAAGTTACTCTAAGAATGGCTCCAAAAGCTATTTGTTTATTTTTATTTTGTTTTTCATCTTTTATTTAATTGGATCGTCTGATACGAGCCGCAGACAATTAACCACCTTTATGGAAATTTATTTAAAATTTAATTAGGTACCAATAAATAGCAAATAGTTTTTGGATTTTTATTGTACACTCGCGACGCGCCATTATTCCATGGCTAGAAATTGTCCTCAATGATTTGGGATCGAGGGGGATTATCCCTCTTTATCCTGCCTCATCTCGTGTAGGCCTGG